TTCATTACAATTTTTATAATTTTTTGATACAAAATAATGCTCTTTCACTGTTTAAAGCTTTTACCCTGAGTCACATTTTTAGAGAGATTAACATTGCCATTTCTCTGGTAGCGTAGTGGTTACAAATCGGGCTGTGAATTGCAAGGTCAGCAGTTCAAAACTACCAGCTGTTCTGCGGGAGAAAGATGAGGCTTTCTGCTCCCATAAAGATTTATAGCCTCGGAAACCCTGTACCGGGTCACTATGACTTGGAACCGACTCCATGGCACATAACAACAACAACAACATTGCCATTTCTGCTTTTGTTTGTAGATGCTTAATATTGTTTTGCTCACCAACTGCTTCATGTCCTTTTGCTTTAGGTGTGTCTCTGATAAGTAACATATGAGTAGAATTTCTTTTCTACACAATGTAGTCATCTTTATCTTTGAAAAGTTCTATCCATTCATATGGGTGTTGTTAATTGATATGCTTGATCTAATTCTGTTATCTATTTTGTTTTAATGATTGTTTCCTCAAATTTATTATTTTACTATTTTCTATTAAGACAGAAAAGTAAATATGATCTTTATTTTTGGGGCGTTTCTCTTTTTAATTTGTGGATAGATCATGTAATTTTTTTTCACAAATTAAAAAAAAATTAATGTATGTGTGTATGTGTGTATGAAGCCCTCTTGTGTGTGTGAGAATATATGTACACACATGAGAGGGCTTCAGAAAGTTCATGGACAAATGGAGAGACAATGGGGTTTTTCCAAGACCTTTTTGAAGTTCCTTGTGTGTGTATTAATTTTTTTTTTGTTCTCTCTACCCCTTTTTCTCCTAGAGGGAATATGATTGTAGGGATAGTTATTTCCTTGATTTTTCTACTATAGCATGTATCCCAACAAAGTTTGATTACTTGCCTTTGTACTTCCTGCAGTGTTTACTTTTGTGTCTGCCCTCTTTCACTTAGCCTGTGTTTGTGAGATTCACCGTGTAGCTACACAGATGGTCCATCCCCATGGCTGTTGAGTGTTTCTTGCATCCATCTGCTCTTCAGTGGCTGCCAGCAAGTTTCCTGTTGGAATTTTTCCTCACAAGCTGATGTGAATCTCTTGGATGTCTTTCCTGCTGTACGTGTGCGCGACCATCAGGGAAGGAACTGCCAGGCTGTGAAGTAAGCACATTTTCTGTGTTACTAGATGACTTCCACTTCTCACAGTAACTCTGCTGGTTCATCTCCCTCAGCAGTGGGTGAGCAGCCCCGTTACCCCATATCCTCATCAAATGGGGTGGAGCAAAACTGAACTGTCCCTCTGGACAGTGTGGGAACCATGGGGTCCTTGGGAAGAGGACCTTAGGAAGAGAAGTTGGGTAGAAAGGGGGAAAAGATGCTATTTTTCCTGCTGATTTATGAAGACCAACGCCTATAAGATGCTGTGGGCATCACCGCCCTCTCAGGAAACTGCCTTTCTAAGCTAAATACACACCTGACCTCCCTTTACCCCAGACCCTTTCAGGAAAAAGGAAAACCAGTCCCAACTCAGTACACAGTATAGGATTAGTCATTCCATTTTGGTGTCTCTATTTCTACTTCTCCTGAGGGACTTCATAGAGCTTCACAGATCAGACATAGGTTTGAAACAGGCCATGACATGGTACTGTCATGGGCTGACTCAGAACTGAGTACAGGGTGCCAACAAGGCCAAGGCTGGGCATCTATGTGTCACTGAAGGCTGGGCCCAAGGGACACTGCCGTAGACCAGAGCCAGGTGCCATCACAGGTCCAAGTTGGGCACCAGGAGCATGATCCAGGGAGGTGTCCCACAGCAGCATCACCTAATGGACCTGTCTGGGCCTTGCCATGGTCACAATGCCTACTCAGCATCCTGCTACCCAACCCTGGGACAGAGGTCTACTCCCCACCCTAAATGAACAAACCATGAATTCTAGAATTCTCTCACAGAAGAAATTCTGGCCCTCCCTCCCCCCACATCTCATTTTGAGCACTAGCAAGGACCAGGCACCTGCTTGCAATGTCCAGTGGGCTTGGGTGTAAGGAGGGCTTTTTCACGTCTACCTATTATCCTACCAGACATGGGAACCTTCATGAAGGTATGACTTGGGGACATGGGAGAGAGGCAAGAGGGGTCTGCTGCCTGGGTGTCTATGTCAATGCCCCAAGCCTGAAGTACTTCATCATCCATACCCTGGTAGGCATCTCCTTGCCAGAGTATGTGAAGTGAGGGGGCTCTTCCAACCTGCAAGGTGACCATGAGCACTTGAGCCTAATTAAGAACGAGGGAACAAACTAACATCCATGGAACAGATGGGTTGGTTTGGGAGGCACTTCTTGGGAGAACCAGGATTTGTGATGATGATGATAGTGATGACGTGTGAATGACCATTCAATCTTCGTCAGGCCCATGTTCAGTTAGGTGGATGTTTCCAATATCCCTATTTCACTATAGGAAACTAAGGCACAGAGAGCTCACACAGCTTATCAGTGATGGAATCAGGACTCAGCATCAAATGTCAACGGACTCTGAGGACCCAAAGCAGTTTGGGACCCAAAACAACAGAGGCTCTTTAGACTTCTACCCTAACTGACCACCACAAGTAATCTTGGTGGCAGCCCTGGCTTGGGTCACCTACCAGCTTCCCATTCTGCTGCTTGTCAGACAACATGCTGGGGGTGGGGCTGTGTTCCCCAGTTCAGGGGATTTGTCTTTTCCCATCAATGTGTTGACTTTCCCCACCCACAACAATGCATCACTGAGTCCATGGATGAGTAGACAGCCTCCTACTCTGAATGGACTGCACTGCCCTCAGCCATCTCAGACATTTTAGGGTCATGTCGTAGGATAAACACTGGACTGCTAGCTGCAAGGTTGATGGTTCAAACCCACCAGCCACTCCTTGGAAGCCCTATATAGGGTCACTATGAGTTGGAACCGACTCAGTGACACTTAACAACAACGGAGGCATACTGCTCCCTGGAGCTGACTGACTGTTATGCCTTTCATGGTATGGGCATGGGTGTGGACTATGGCCTTCTAGGACAGAGGTCATGATGCTAAGATGTGTCCTCCCAAGACCACGTGTGAGTGCAAGATGACTTGAGAGTATGGCTTGTAAGTATTGAAGCCACTTAGCTCTGACCCTGGACTGTATGAGACTAGGGATAGGAACTCCTGGTGTGGGGTTGTAGGGTCAGTACTGGACTAACCACAATGTCAGTGGTTCAAACACACCATCGGTTCCTCAGAAACCCTACATAGGGTTGCTATGGGTTGAAACTGACTCTATGGCACTTAACAGGAACAAATAACAAGTAGGAATCGCTGCGGTCTGAGGACAAATCACTTTGAGCCGCGGTCTGGCTGTGTCAGGCTGTGTGGAATGGTGACAATGCTTGATTTGTGACACCCTGAACCTCCAAATAGTCCCTCGTGGCTCCCCCCGACCCTGGTTTAGCTGCCATAGTTGATGCTGGCCCCTGGTGTTGGGATCTCCAGGTTGTATCCTGCAAATCTGATACAAGGTTTTGTGGAAGAAATTGGAGTCAACATTTCACTGAGCGTGAGTTCTGAGGAATGCTCTTGTCAGAGACCTGGGGAACCCACTGGGGAGGGGAATAAAGAGGGACACCCCACCTGCCTCTGAGAACTAAGGGGTGGTGTTCTTTCTGCTGAAGCCTGACTCTGGGAGGTCTCTACTTGTGGAAAAAGGGAAGGAAGGCCTCTGGAGAGCCTCCTCTTTCTCCCCACATGGACCAGGGAGACTATAGTCTGAAACAAAATGGTGTATGAGAAGGGCCTGAGGGTGATTCCCTGGAGAAGAGAGGAAGTGGGACCGTGTCTGCAGTGAGACAGCAAAGCAGAACTCTCCATGGAGGTGGAAATGGAGGTGGTAGGGTCTGTGAGGAGACCTGAGGGTCCCCATGGAAGGCCACTGGTTGAGGTCAAAGGCATCCAGGAATGGAAGTTGTGGCAAGTTGTGGTAAATGTAGCATCTGTACCTGGGATGGTGTCAGGAGCCTAGGGTCCACAGTATGTATGAGCCCAGGAATCAAAGGTTGGTTACCTCTGAGGGATTGCTACACAGCAGGGATGGGTAAATATTTCGTGGAATGCAAATAGGTCACCATAGATTCTTAATCTTACTTTCTTCTTATTCTTGTCCCTCCTTCCCCAAGCACTCTCCAGGTCAGGACAAGCCTTTTGCTCAGTGCCCTGCTTGGTCCCAACGCTGAGCCGGGGAATGAAACCATGACAGCTAGTGGTGGCTTCACCTCTGTGAGGAGGTCCATGGCCAAATGTAGTGCTTTACTGACCAGCCTGAACTCCACAGCAGGCTACAGACGAGAATTCGTTTTCTTTTTCGTTATTCTCGCAGTAGCTTCTTATTTCTTTTCCTGACCTTAAGGAGGTCCAATTATAAAATGCCAGTAGAGGATGGTCCAGTTTAAAATCTCCATCTCAATACATGGTTTAGTGCAAAATGCCTTCCCTTTCACCCACTCCTTCCATGAAAGCTCTCCTGCTGGTAAGGGGTATGGAGGGCATAGACCAGCATCACCACTCCCTTCCTTGGGAGGCACAGAGACAGTGGTCTGCATGAAGTGGGCCTCAGGGTTGTCCATTTCTTCAGGGCACCCTGCTCACTAGCCCTGCAGCTTACCCCAGGCTGAGGGCTCTGCACTGGATGATCCCCACGCCCCATCTATCTGTTTGCTTAAATGCTGGAGATGGCTCACCTTACAACAAGTCCTGAAGAGGCTTCTGGCTCTCATTGTCTGGGGGCTTTCTTTGTTTTGTGTAAATGGCAGGTATCGGCTACCTCTGGATCTTTCAGGGATGGGGGAAAAGTTCCTCTTCACTTGTGCATGTGACAGCGGCTGCTTGTGACAAGGCTGGAAGTGATTTTGTCTTGACAGTCTGGTGTGTGCAGGACTCTGAGGGCTGCCCGATGGTCTACATTAGTCCAGCACAGCCCCCTATCTTCTCTTTCCCCAGTGCCCTGGTTCGGGGTCTGTGGTCAGACCAACGTCACCTGCAGGGTAGTGAAGGGGAAGGTGGTAGAGGAAGGCAAGTGGCCATGGCACGTGAGCATCCTGTTCCTGGGGATGTACATCTGCAGTGGCTCCATCTTCCATGAGCATTGGGTCCTCACAGCTGCGCACTGCTTTCAAAGGTCAGTCAGAGTGGCTATGGGGGAGAGGTGACTGGGGGCTGGCTGGGTGTCGCTGTGCTCTGCCTGTGTCTCTCCAACCACTTCCAGTCATCCTGCTGATGGTTCACCTCCCACCCGTGACCCTACAGATCAAAAAACCACAGCGAATACACTGTGAGGATGGGAGCCCAGCAATTTTCCTCAAACGCCGCTCAACATCCCATCAGTCTCATTGTGATCCATGAGAACTTCACCAATCTTGCGTCCCAGGACATTGCCCTCCTGAGGCTCCAGCATCCCATCTCCTGGTCCCACAACATCCAGCCCATCTGCCTCCCCGATGCACAAAACAAGCCGTCTATTGGTTCCATGTGTTGGATGGTTGGGTCGGAATATGTAGGAAAACAAGGTGAGTGAAAACGGGTGAAGGACCCAAGATACCCATCTCCTCAGAGCACAGCTCCTCCACCCCATCATGGGCTCCGTAGCCCATCCCTTTGTCCACTCATTCACTCAGCCAGCAGACGTTTCTGGAGCATCTACCCATGCCACGCACCGTTGACATGCAGATATGCTTAGTGCTCTAGTGGAAGAGAGATACATGATACATGCCCTGCATGGACCTCAGGTTCCAAAGTCAGGTTAAATCGCATGCCAAGTTCCTGCTCTGCAGCATTTGCAGGACATGACTCCTTGGTCACTACTGAAGCTCCTTGTCTACAGTTTGCACAAAGGCCATGGATTCAGGTAATACTGAGGCACCATGCACACTGGTTACCTTGAGGCATTTATCATTCTTAGAGTGCTGCTGCCCCTGTTGGTGCCACCCTAGAAGCTCCTGTGAGGCCCTGCCTTCCAGTGGGTGCCACATAGTCACTTTGGGATCTACACCTTGTTGGATGGCCATAGAGTAGTGCTTAGATTCTTCATGAAAATTGAAATTGTGAGGAAATCTCTCCTTGTCCCTGTTGGGTGCCTGGATGTCCCCCAACACCCTGGGATACTTTGCTTACTCTCTTTAATGAACTGAGGCTTTTACATAGTCTGTGGGATGGGGCCATTATGAATTGACATTGTAAGAAGTGACCCTGCCTCCCACCTTAGTAAATCAGGCTACTCCAAGATGGAGATGGGTTGACGAATTGCATGGATGCCCAGGCAGTATCTCTCTCTCTCCTCAGGGGTCACATCATCCCCAAAGACCACAGCATCCTCAGGGGTCCAGATGCCCACCCTCAACAATCTTCAGGAGGTAGTAGTCAAGATTGTAAACAAAGACATCTGTAACCAGAAATACCAATTCCTCCTCAAGAAGGGCCAACAGAACTTCATGGGGACAGACATGCTGTGTGGCAACTTAGAACGTGGCATGAAATTTTGTAAGGTGTGGAGTATGTGGATCAGGGCAGGGAGGGCCTTTGTGGGGGCATGCCTTATCAAGTGGCACTAGGACGCCTTACTCCTCTAGACCTGAGGTTCCTACTCAGTAAAATGGTGGTGAAAATATCCTTAACACCATCCACAATGATGGCAGTATTTCTCAGGTCATTTGAACACTTTTGAACACATGCCCAGATCTAGGCCAGGCACTGGAAGAACCAGCATAAATGGCATCATGCTGTAAACATGTGTCTGCCACTGGCATCTTCCATTCAATATTAGATATCTTAGATTTACCCATAATGATACATGCAGCTCCAATTCCTGAAATAACAGTTCTAAATATTCTCTTTTGTGAATACACCATAATTTATCTACTCTTTTACTTATAAACATTGAGGTAGCTTTCCATTTTTTTTTCATACCGCAAACTCTACTGCTTTCAATAGTGTAACACACATCTCAGTGTTCATATGTTCCAGGATTTCTCAACAGTGTATGTTCTGCATGGAACTGCTGGGTCATAGGATGTACATCACTTCATCTGTAATGAAACCAGTTGCTGTCAAGTTGATAGCAAGTTGACACTCATGGGGACTCCCATGTGTGTCAGAGTAGAACTGCTGTGCTTCATACGATTTTAAAAAATAATATTTTACTGTGTTTTTGATGAAAGTTTACACTACACAAATTGTTCAGAGACATTGTTTCCATTTTTCACAATGTGTTAACATTCTCATTAATTCCCTTCTGGATGTTTTGCTTCCAGTGATTTGGTTTCTCTATCTTATTCTTTGATCTTTACTTTACAGTGTTTGTTGATCCTTTTGGCTCATATAGATGATTTTTTGAAAGACATTGAGTACTCATTGATAATATTCTTTATTGTATGAGCCAATCTGTTATTTAGTGGAAAAGTTATTATATACCACTCAAGGGGTAGTTTCTGTTCAAAGTTTATGGCTTATCTAAGGATGGTCAGTGGTGGGAGCCGGGCACCATCTAGTTCTTCTAGTCTTAGGGTGATGCCAAGGTTCGTATAGATTGTATGTCCTGAAAACTAGTTTATTCTTTGAGTCTTTGGTTTTCTTTTTTCTCTTTTTGTTCTTTTCTTTCTCTTCTTGCTCCAGATGAGAAGAGACAAGAGTTGTATCTTAAATGTCTTCTTGCAAGCATTTAAGACCCCAGACACTACTCACCAGACGATGATGTAGAACATAACTTTTGTGAATTGTGTTGTGCCAATTGACCAAGTTGTTCCACGAGACTATGGTCCTAAGGTTTCAAATGCAGAAAATCAATCCCTTATGGTGTTTGTTTATAACTAAGAAGTATCCATAACCATGCCCCCTATGTGCTTTACATACATACACACACATGTACATATGTACACACATATATAGCTCTGGGCAAATTATTGAATAGTACAGAAAGCATCAAAAGAAGATGGAAAGAATACACAGAGTCATTGTACCAAAAGGGAGTGATTGATGTTCAACCATTTCAAGAAGTAGCATGCAACCAAGAGCCAATGATACTGAAGAAAGAAGTCCAAGGTGCATTGAAGGAATTGGCAAAGAACAAGGCACTGGGAATTGGTGGAATAAAAACTGAAATCTTTCAAAAATGTGAGGTGCACTGGAAGTACTCACTCATCTATGTCAAGAAATTTGAAAGAAAAATATCTGGCCAACTGATTGGAAGTGATCCATATTTGTGCCCATTCCAAAGAGAGGTGACTCAACAGAATGCAGATATCATTGGACAATCTCTTTGATATCCCATGCGGGTAAAGTTTTACTAAATGTAATAGAGAAACAGCTGCAAGCATACATTGACAGAGAACTTCCAGAGGTTCAAGCCGGATTCAGAAGAGGCCGTGGAATGAGGGATA